CCCCCAATTCATACCATTCCCAAACCGAACTTCTTATACACCCCCATGCACTGTCACCGATTCATTCCCTGTGTGTTTTCCCTGATCCATATGGAACCTGTTGCACACCCCATGCACTTTGCCCAACCCATATCATCCTACCTTCACGCAATGTCTCTGAGCTGAACAGCATCTCTCATATACTCCAAACACCGCCGACCATTCCCTCCCCCACTCCCCACACACAACATGCTATAGCTAACTCACAGGGCATCTCTCAAACCTCCCAGATATCTCCATGCACCCTTCTTGATCCATGTTGCCCCCTTCTCATACACCCTACCTAACCCATGTGGCTTCTCTTGCATGCATCATCACAAACCCTTCCTGACTTGTGCATCTCCTCTTTCATACCTCATATACAATTCCTGACTTTCATCCAGCACACTCTCTCACTTCTTTTCCCAGGTAGCAGTCATTTATTTGCCTGTTGGCCTTGGACCTGCAACTTCCTGCTGTTTTGTCCATTGACTTTCTCCTGGCAAGCTGACCACAAGCAGAGTAAATGGGGAGGGAGGGAGGGAGATTTCTGATGGTCCCTACCAGTCTCCCACAAGAAAACTCAGTGGGGAAGCCAGCAGGAAGTCAGAAGTTGCCCCTGCTCCCACTGCTTTTTTGCCCACATGTAGCATTCTGATTCTCTGTTTATGTAAGAAAATATCTCTGAAACAATGACCTAATGGGGCACAGGCTATCCAGTGGTTCACTAAAAGTGTGAGCTTGTGTATTTGATATCATATGCAAACTTAGCTATCTCATTACTTATCGCTAAATCAAAATCATTAATAAAGAAGTTAAAAAGCCAACATAGATGCTTAGGGGATTTCACTTCTTGCTTGTCCACATTAAGGAAACTGTCAGTTTATTCCTACACTTTGCTTCCTGTTCATAGCCTTCAGCATAAAGTCCTCTTATCCCATAATCACAGTCTCAACTTCAGAGTCTTTGATGAAGGACTTCCTCACAGCCTTTTTTAAAGTTCAAGCAAACTGTCAATCTGTGCTCCATTCAAAATCCAAGAAAGAAACACTCAGACTCCAATGGTTAGAGCAAAGTTTTCCCTTTTACTGAATTTCAAAGTGGAAGCTACAGGGAAGATTCTGAATCTAAAGAATTTGGCGCGCAGATCACATATACAAAGGGATGGAATTGTTCCCCCCTCCCAAAGTCCAGAAGACTCTTCCAATTAAAAGTTCTGAATATGATCATGTGGGCATCTTCAGGTGGTGATGAGGCCTCTGTCCGTTGACCTTGACATATTTTGATAAAACTTCGCAGCTGCGCAAAAGGAAAGAAAGCTAGGCAAGGAAATAGAAACTTAAGGACAAGAATTTATACTCCCCCTCCTCCTTCTCATCTACAGCACAGGAATGTAACACCTCCAGCTTTCTTCCCCTCCATTTCCCACCTCCCCCGTTACTAATGACAGCCGAAAGAGAGCAGTGAGCATAGCAGTAGAAAAGATGTAGAAGAGATCTTGAGGCTGACACAAACTTCATCGGATGGATCATTTCCTTCCACATTCTTTTTCTGTAAATATCCACATTCTCTAAAAACATAAATAGGTTGATGAAGATATTTTTCAATCAATTTGTCCCAAACAGACACTAATCTAATGGATTATAAAAAGAGATTCTCACCTTGACAGCTCGAAGATATTCGGACTTCAATCCCCAGAAATCCCCAGTCATTCTCCACACATCTTCAAGCTGCCAAAGTTGAGAAGCACTGGCCTATAATAAGTTGAATCTTCACCAAATCCCTGTTTAAAAACTGAATGAATCTCTGCAGTATTTCCAGGCTGTAGACACCAAGTTTTTAAGTAACTTTTGAGGAGAGAGTTCAATCATAATACTTTTGATAAGATGCCACTCTTTGTTCTTATTCACAATACATGTATTTGGTTTCATTTCTTGTCAAAACATTATTAAACATGCATCAAACCATAGATGAGTAACATCACTGAGAGATTTTGTATGTGAGATAACATTTTAGGTAGCCAAAATAACATTTTAGTAATCTGGTAGGATTTGGAGAATCTGTGAACTAGACTAGGTTTAATATTATAGCAGTTAACTACTTCCTTTATTCAGCCTTATAAATAGTTTGCAATTCAGAATGACTAACAGATTCAATTTCTGAAGGCATTCAATTTCTTCAGCAAATTTATTGGAGTTATGAACAAAATATCTATCAGAGCTTGAGGAAAGTGTCACCCTCCTCAAAGTCAGCTGTGAAAAACGAAGAAAGTGAAAGAGAAGAAAATGAGTTAAAAGAACTTCAAGCCACAGGGACCCTTACCCAATGATTTAGAGTGTGGGGAGCTACAGGGGAGAAGAGAGAAGCAAAGATTGGAGGCCTGCCCATTACCCAGTAACATCTCACAGTGAGACAATCATGTTACGGTGCCAGGGAGGGTCATGTTATTGAGATCATTAGCTGTATTCCTCACCACATCAAGGTAGATGTTTTCGTGCAACCACATTTTGGCCATCTAATATGAGATGGCTGATTCAGTGTCTTGTAGTATTTCCTCTTAAAGGCCACCTATATAACTTGTAAATTGTAAACATTTTTTTTAAGTGTCTTTCAAAAGAAAGCACTTTTCACAATTTGGAGGCTTTTAATTTTCTTACCTTCCCGCAAATAAGAAAGTTTTACCAGTCATATTTTTCCCATTTAAATGATTCAGTGGTGGTTGAGATTTAATACCACTGTATTTTATTTGTTGGGGAAGGAGTCACAACTAAACAAACACACTTTATTTAGTAAGGACCTTTACAAACACTTCCTCTAATTCTTAAGATTGTGCTCATCATAGTTTTATAGTTATGGTGACTATTGTTACAGAACAAGAAGACTAAAGCTAAGCAAATGACTTATTACGTTTATTAAGAGAAAACCAGAAGGAAGCACCTTAGCTATTAGTAGCGATAATACAGACTTACATAAAGAATCAAACCAAAGAGCTGGCTCATTCAAGGAAGAATGAGGCTATATTATTTTCCTCTTACGAATGCAGAATATTCAGCAGTTGAATTAAACTTCTTTTTACATGCACTCAAATTTCAGTTAGAGTCAATTATTACTACAGCCCTGGGAAATTCCCAGAGAATTGCTTTAAGTGCCCACATATTAATTGAATCTAATGGGTTTATAAGCTGAACTTTTGCCTTGGAGTGCAGCATTAGTGTCTTCATTTGTGTTATTATTTATTTGGATTAAAAGCAATACAATGCCAATTATCTCTTTTTTTCCTTCCCCCACCAAAATGTTCATAGCTTCCTTTTTATTCTCAAGATACATTTTGTATTAGTTTGATAGAATTTCTGAGCTATTCTGATGGTAAGGTTTTCCTGTAAAGATGCTGCTGGAATGTGGATGGGTGCTGTTACGTATTACCCTTTGTGGGAATATTTATCCTCACTTTTGAGAAATCATAATCAGTATACATAAAATATAACATTAACGGGTTCAGATCAAAACATGTTAACTTCATAGTGGTCCCATCCCATTTATCCAAACTCTTTCCCTTATGTTCTTCTCAGGTCTGTTCTTCAAATCCAAAGAACTTAGAAAATTGCTCCAAAGTTTCCACAGATTAAATTCACATCATTTTACTTCATCTGTAGTTTAAAATTTGGTATGCCACCTTCTAAGAGAAGGTTTTCCCAGAGCTTTGTTGGTTGCAAAGTCGCAGTTCATAATAAAATAAAATCACTAAATACAATCCTGAAACAATTAAGCAAACAATACAAAGTAAGTTAGACTTCATTGAATCAAGTTGAACTCCTGGTATCTTTAGGGATATCACCACATAGGACATTTTCTGCCAATAATACAAAAGTAGTTTGCCATTTCCTTCTGAGTTCTAATGTAACCCACAATCATGGGATTTCCCTGTAGTTTCTATTGAATTTCTAACTGGATACAACCTGGCTTAGATTTTTCTGAGAGCACTCAAGGTTGTGACAATAAAACAGTACAAGCAATAGGCTGTGTAATTTTTTTTTCCTAAGTGGCAATGTTTAAAAGTTCAACACATGAATTCATTACAATGCCTGGGACAATAAAAACATCTTTGTCTTGTGCCAGAAACCATCAATACAATTCCAATTCTAGGTTGGATCGAGCAGTTTGAATAAGCTTGCTGCATAGTTTAGCCAAGAATAAAAAGAAGTGTTCAGACATACTGCTCCTATGTAGGTGGACACATTTTTCTTTTTCTTTGTCAAGCACATAAATTCACTTTATTTTATAATATAATATAATAAGACTATACTATAACGATAAAAAAAGTATGAGGCCAGGCCAGAGCCTCAGGAAATAATGACTTCATAACATTATAAAGTCAATGGTTTTATTTTATTCATTGACCAGATTGGGATAATATAACAGAATAAGATTAATGAAATAAGGTCAATAACATAAAACATGGTTTAAAAGGAATATAGAGTCAAATTGAATGGAGTCAATTTGAACTGCTCCTAGCTAGATTCTGATGGATTTTGCCAGCTATTAGATAAAATGAGGCCACATTGTAAGGCAGTCCATCACTCTGATCAGCTAGATAGATGAAATAAAAAGAAGTGCAAGAAGGACATAATAAAAGTTTGTGGGATTGACAGTAATGAACATTTGTTTCAGTAGCTCCAGTTTTACAATGACAAGGATGTTCATCGTATGAGATCTCCTGGAACTTTCTAAAACAGGGATGTCAAACTTGATTTCATTGAGGGCTGTATCAGGATTGTGTTTGACCTTGGAGGGCCAGGTGGGCGTGGCCAAGGTGGGCGTAGTCAGCTCAATGTCACTCGTGTTGGGGGCACTTTCACTGTTTCCAAGGCAGCCCCACAGGCCAGATCTAAGCACCCTGCGAGCCGGGGTGTAAGAGTCAGCATACATCTCAGTTTTGGTGTAGTAAGTTGGTATAGTAATTTGACTGAGCTCTCTGGCATGCTTATATTTGATGATATGACTACCTACATTGATAACAATCCTCAGTTTGTTCTTCCTCATCAGAAACACATTTTTCAAAAAAAAATCTGGCTGAATTGCACCCAGTTGTGTTCAGTGAATGGAAGGAAAAACTGCAGTAATGTAGCTGTTCCCCAGTCCTTTTTCCCTTTTGTA